GTTTTGCAATTGTATATAAGGGTAGCTGGTCAAATGGACCTAGGTATATTTTTGGTAATAAAAAATATTATTTTGAAGATGGTCATGTAGCATTAAAAAAGTTTAAAAATAAAAACTCTCAAAATATTTCTGAAGAATTTTTAAAAGAGGTGAATAATTTGGTATAATTGACAATTAATGATTTTCAAATAATATATTAAATTTTTATTAATTTTCACAAAAGGTTCAAAAATACATTAAATGTATAGGACCTTGTCATAAGGAGATTGTTAGTATTTTTGGTATTTCACAAGATCCAGATACAAAAGGATATATTTTAGTAATGAGATATGCAAAGAATGGAAGTTTTAAAAATTATATAAAATCAAATCATATAGAATGGGGTGATAAAATTCAAATACTTTATAATCTTATTTCAGGTTTAAGCAAGCTTCATCAAGAAAGACTTATGCATTGTGATCTTCACAGTGGTAATATTTTATATTTTAAATTTTCAACCCAGGCAAAGATTGCAGATTTAGGGTTATCAGGCCCAGCTGATCAGGAACCATCAAGTAAAAATAGTATATTTGGAGTACTTCCATATGTTGCACCAGAAGTTTTAAATAAGAAACCTTACACACAAAAATCTGACATCTATAGCTTTGGGATTTTAATGTCAGAAACATCAACACATCAACAACCATTCAAAGATCAACCACATGATCTAGATCTTGCTTGTAGGATCTGTAGTGGCTTAAGGCCTAGTTTTTCATATAATACTCCAGAATGTTATATTAAGTTAGCATACAGATGCACAGATGCTGATCCTGAAAAAAGACCAACAGCAAATGAAATTTTAGAAATTATTACCTTTTGGAAAGATGCTATTCAATCAAATTGGAACAAATATAAATATTCTGAAGAACAGCTTGATGAATTAAGAAAGATGAAAAAAATATTTAAAGAAGCAGATGAAAAACCCTTTAACCCTTCAACAATTACAGCAACTGTTCATCCAAATGCTGTTTACACAAGTAGATTATTGAATTTTGCAAATCTTCCTCAACCTGTAAACTCCAATAAAGTTACAATTATTAGCAACAATGATGGTAATTATCAATTATTTGATTATTAATCTTAAAATTCAATATCAGCATTAATAATAATCATTTTATAGAATCTAATCAAATTGATTTAGATAGTATTAATAATGGTAATTATTTGATTATTGATTTAAATTCAATATCAATATCAATATTAATTAAATTAATCATATCTATAGATTTTAATCAAATGAATTTGAATGGTAATTATCATTATTTATTTATTAGTTTTAAAATTAAATATCAATTTCAATATTAATATTATTTTTTTATGTATAAATTATTATATTTACAGATTCTAATCAAATGTATTTAGATATTTAGATTTATGAATAAATTTTATTCATCTGATTGCTGGAATTTTACATTAGGCTTTTTATTATTATAAGGAAGTGTACAAACACCTCTTATTATTATCATTTTTTTAAAAAAATATTAGATACTTTATATTTTGTCTAAATCCTTCCTTGTAATTGAAGTGACCCATTACTATGCCTATTATTGTTGTAATTATTATTATTAATAATATTTTATATTCAAGCATTTATATATATTAACTTTTGAGCTACACTCATTGATTAATTGCAAACTTTTATATTCCATGCTCATCAATTAAGTCACTTTACAAATTTATCTAACAATTTTCTTGCTTACTGCCTCTTTTTTGTACTTAGAAAACTTTGACAATCTGTAAGTGCACTTTATGGTACAATTTATGTAAAGTGGCAAAAGTTCCTTTGACCACTTAAAACTTTATTAATTTGGTCTCTTTACAAGACTCCTTAAACTGTTCATTTAACAGCTGTGTGTTTACAACAATTACTTTAACACAAATAAAAAATGATAATGAAAAAAAATTTTCTTATTTTATTATTGAATTTTACAAAAAATACTTGGTCCTAGTCCCTTGCCATTAGAATGTGATCATGAAAACCACCAGCCATAGTCAGTTTAATATTGGTGAGTAATGATCATGAAACTACAATATTTGGACCAATGGAGAACCAATCACAGTCCCTGAGCCTTATAAAACTTACAAAAGGCCAATTGGAGGACTTACATTTAAAGATGAAATTCCAGAACTGGTTCAAGCAGATACTAGCACAGAAGGTGACACAGCTGAACCAAGATTAATCATACCATTAACTAGTGGAAGAGATAGCAGATATAGAACAGCTGGTGTACCCTATGCAAAGTTTGCACACTTAAAACATACTTATTATACCACTAAAACACACTTATTTTAAGTAGAATTTAATTAATGTTTTGAATAACTAATTTTTTTTCTTTAATTGTTGTGTGAAAATAACCCATTGTTTAACTATGATCCCATTTTTGAAAAAAGAAATATTAATACAATGTTATATATAATAAAATTTATTATTGATAATAATAATATATTGTTACTTCATTTATGCTTTGATGATCATGTGTAACTAATAGTAAATTTGGAAGAAAAGAAATCAATGTTATATATTAATAAGAATTATTATTAATAATATATTCCATAATAATGAACCTCGTTAATACAATAAATAGTATATTATTACTTACTATTACCTTGATGATCGCGTGAATAATAATAACAATAAACCATAAACCCGTTAATACAATGTTATATATGTATACAATAAATTATTAATAATATTATTATTAGTAATATACTATTACTTACCTTGATGGCTGCGTGTATAATAATAACAATAAACCATAATAATAAACCCGTTAATACAATGTTATGTATACAATAAATTAATAATATTATTAGTAGTAGTAATATATTATTACTTACCTTGATGGTCGCGTGCATAATAATAATAATAATAATAAACCCGTTAATACAATGTGTATACAATAAATTATTATTAATAATATATTAATATATTATTACTTACCACGTAACAATAAGCCATAATAATAAATTAGTTATACTTACGTTGCATACAGTTATATACAATAAGAATTATTATTTATATTATTACTTACCACCCACCATTATACTTTGAACAATAATCCAATCCGATTGTTTAATTGGTAGATCTGTTTTTTTTTTTGAAAAAAACAAACATTAATATGATGTTATATACAATAAGTTATTAGTAGCAATATTATTCATTATCTGCTACTGTTATGTTTCCCCATTATCTGTTTTTTGAAGTTACATTTCTTTTAATGAATAGATGAATGAGTGAACGAAATAAAATAAACCAACATTTCTAATTTATTAATCAAAGATCCATACGTTGTTTGTTTATAAGTCAAATGTTATTATATACTGTCTTTTGATTAGCTCCTATTTTTTAACGATATATACCAGAGTTTAAAGATGTAGTTTTCATTAGTGTTCCTATTCAAATATCAAAAATCGAAATGGTATTCGAATATTCACATTAATCAGCATATTCGAAATTGGTGTCAAATAATTTTATATATTCGAATATCCGTAACACTTTCGAATATTAATTTAAATCGCGTTTCAACGGACAACGGATTTTTTGGTAGGATTTTAGTAATAAGTATATACTAATCGCGTTACAACGGGTTCACGTGATATAGATTTTATAAAAAAAAACCACATTACTATGTTAAGATTAATTCATTGCTAAATAATAATATAAACAAATTGAATAATTCTCAAAATATCACATTGCTGCTACTAATCAGAAATTTTCCATATTTCTAAATAATAATTTTACACGAATAATTAAACACACATTACTAAATAATAATATTAATCAAATTTTCCATATTTCTAAATAATGATTTTACATGAATAATTAAACACACATCACTAAATAATAATATTAAATCAAATCTTTCATATTTCTGAATTGATAATAAATAAATATCTTCTAATAATTCTACATAATCAACATTTTCTTTGATTTCTTTAAATTAATAAATCTCTAAATTCTACGAAATTAAAATGTCTCGACAACTATCTTCTTTTTCCAAAAAATGTGAAAAAGCTTTTGAAACTACTTTTAATTTTCTTGAACAAAATAATATACAAGCAGATTATAATGAATTAAAAGCTTTAAAATCATTGGAAAAAAAAATCATATAGTATTCAAAATTCAATACAAACAAACATTACTAGTTTTCAGTAAATAATTGACTATTAATTATCGTTTTAATTTTTTGTAAATTTTACTGCATTATATCATTAAGTATTATCATTAAAAAAATTTTCCTGTTGATCCTGTCGATCATTATCTCGTTTCAACGGATTTAGGTGGTCAGTCCCATAGCTCCGTTGAAACGAGGTTTGACTGTAGTGTGCCCCGATGATACAATGATGCAACTGAATTTTCAGGGGGGACATTGCCCTGAGATTTACCGAGATTGCATAAATTGTCAAGGATGTTTTCACTAATCTTCTCAGATCAGGGATGGCTGCTGGCATGCTAGCCGAAAAGTTTCCTGCAACGATCCCACCTCTAGGTAAGAATGGCTTTGTGGCCAAGTCACAACTCTGGAGGAATATTAAAAGAATCTGCAACTTGTTTCAAGCACCAGGAGGTTACAATTCAGAGCAGGGTTGGTAGCCCCGAAATTGCATTTGGGCTCTGGTGTTAAGAGAAAGTTGTAAAATAGTGTTTGTCTTGTATAATCATTTTCATAAATGCTCTGTTTTTTAATATTAACCAATTTAATAATTTTGGGTTGGGGACTGGATGGGTTTTTGCCCAACTATTCTTCTGTCCTATAGATTAAAATTATTGCATGATTATATATATCTTTGTCAGCAATATTGTAACAATTTAACGCGATATAATTACTTTCGTGGATGTGTAACATTCAATTTAATAACGTGACACATCATTAATTTTATTTGTAACATTTATTATTCGCGTTGTTTTAATTACATTATTTATCTTATTACTATTTATACCTATGTCCAATAATCCGGATAGATTGATAAGATAACTTTGTAATTTTACAATAATTAAATTACTTATTTCGCTTTTAAACATTGAATGTTTACAAATATGGCCAACAAGAAAAAAGTCATAAAATAGTTTGGATTTTGTTATGTTATGTATAAATTAATCATTTTCATAAATTTTCTATTTTTCTTTAATTTTTGTTTGACCAACTGAACTTGTTGTTTAAATGGGGTAGGGTTGTTAGTAAGTTTGTGTGCCACCAACAAGACAGCAACCCAGGACTCAAAACTCTGAGTTCAGGGAAAATCCAAAACAACAACCCAGGTTGCAACTTTCTGAGTTGCAGAATTTTCAAGCCAGTCTTAACACCAACTTTATTCTAGTGAGTGAGGGGTATAACACAAAGCAACCATCACATAAATGCCAGCTATCAGTGATCAACGCCCATATGATAACAGCCAAACCTGGTCTGAGGGAAGATAAGTAAAAGTTTTGTCCAAAGCCTTCCAACATGTTCAACACTCCTTCACCTGTGGAAAACATTCATTGCATCACGATTGCATGTTTGTGACAGGAAATTTTTATTAAATCTGACACCTGTGATCAACATCAGATTTATTATTCATAATAAGGTTTCTGGCCCAAACTGTTTTCTCAAAGCCCAAACTAGTTTGGGCAATTTGGGCCTCTCGACATTTTTTATAAGCGTGAACATTAAAAAACTATATGAATCAACTTGTTTTAACTTAAACAACTTTAAAATAATTACGCCCATTTCGGCTAATAACAAAAAGTAGTTTGGGCTTATAAAAAAATAATTTTTGCCCAAAGTATTTGGGCAATTTCGGCTACTAATAGAAGCAGTTTTGGCCAGAAACTATATAAAAGCGATAAAAGAACAAAATATTTTAATGAGAGAAGTGTGAATGCAAAAATTAAATGGTTAGATACAGTAGATATTATTATTAGAATAAGAAAATTTAATTTTGCATATGAATTTTTTAAGCTTTATTTATATCCCGAAAAACAATCTGATGTTTTTAAAACAAACTAATCATTCGCTACAAAGTTAGTTAATAATAGACAATTATTTTATTTAACTAATTATCATTACCATTTGAAACCTTTAAAGAGTATTATAAAGAAAAAATTTAATATTTGTTAGATAGAAGATATAAAATAAAATATGGCGAATGAGCAGTTTCAGACATCTTGTAAAGGAAAACAAAAAAGATCAAATAAGAATACAATGAATGTATTCTTGTAAATAAGATCAAATAAAAATACAACAAATTTATTCTTGCAAAAAAAATCAATAAATATATTGTAAAAAAGAAAGGATAAATGTACTCTTGTAAAAAGATCAAACAATGAATGTATTGTAGAAAAAGGAAAAAATTAATGTATTGTATAAAAATACAAACTTGAACTTTTTGAAAATAGATGATTGTACATTCGGAATTTATGTTGCACGATTTTCATTGCAAATATCACGTGAAAGTACGGGCGTGCATTTGGAGGGTAGTTTTATATAATTGGGAATGAAAAAAGACCGTGCAATGCATGTATAGAGGGTGCACTTATCTCTTAAGTCCCGAGCTCGGGAATGAGTGTGAGCGTGCATTTAGAGAGGGTGTGCATTTATGGGGGACATTTAGGGGGGTTGACTGTATTGTTTTGGGTGAGAATATTTTGAAAATGAATAAATTTTTAGCTAATTTATATTTATCGAATTTTTCAATAAAAAGGATTAATACATTTATCATCTGCCTCATATCAAAATTTGTGTAATTTTTTATGTTATCAACAAAATAGATCTTCAGGTAAAAACGCGGCTCAAGATGAAGGAATTTTTTGTAAAATTTGGGCGTTGAATTGAAAACAAGTAATTGTTTTGTTGTAGAAAATGTGTTTGTAGATCAAATATGTAAAGATTCACTTTATTTTTCGCTTTTTATAAAAAATTAATCAACTATAAAAATTCTGCCACTATTTTTTTAACTATATGAGAAAAATTTTAATTATTACATGCAGATTGCAAAAAATCAATCATTTTTTTCAACAAAAAAATCGAAAAATAAATATATGGCTGCATTTTGAAAAGTTTGAAAATTTGCCTGGTTACAAACAAAATAATACAAGATGTAAATATTGTAATTATAAATTATATGATCAAGTAGAAGATGTGAAGGACATTTAAGATGCAAATCAGTACCAGCTCAAGTTTCTTAATACAAATAATAAATAATACTAATAGCAATAGCAACGAATCATCTTCACCATCATTATCAACAACAACAACAACAACAATAACAACAAATTCAAGAGTAATTTATCAGTTTATTAATAATTTCCTA